CCTGTTTTTGCGGAAACTGTGTTGTGTGGTTGCCAGCCTCCCTTCCCTGTCTAGCATCACTAGATCTCTCCGTATTATGGGCCTTTCCATTGTTTTTCCTACAATGGACGTAAGGCTAAGTGGTCTGTAATTCCCCATGTCCCTTTTGCTACCCTTTTGTCTATTTGCCCCAGTACCCATTTCCTATGGAGGTTCCCCTTTCGTCTAACCCCTCTAATCACCCCCTTTCACATTCATGGTGGCGCTCTCCTCTGCCTCCCCACCTTACTAACTAGAGGTATTGTCAAGGCTTGCGCCTCCAAAACCTCCCTTTTCAGTGCCATCCACCCCTCCTGAACTCGCTTACCTTCTAGTAACCTATCCCAGGAGACTTTCCCCAGTCTGGCCTTCAGTTGGCCAAAGTTGGCCCTCTTGAAGTCCCAGCTTCTAGTGCTCGACCTGCTGCACGTCCCCAGTCCCCTGATCTCAAAGCAAAGGATGGAGTGATGACGCACATCCAGAGCTCCCTAATCTGTACTCCATCTATCAGCTCCTCTCTATTGGTCTTTCCCTTCCTGTCCTTTCTAAAAAGGTGATACCCCTCTATGTTCACATTCCAGACTTGTCTTTCATCCCACCTAGTTTCTGTGATTCCCACCAGGTCATACCCTCCTATGCCCAGGAAAGCTTCAAGCTCTTCCTGCTTATTACCCATGCTTCTAGCATTGGTGTACATGCACCTCAACTCCTTCCCACCGCTTCCTTTCCTTGGAGTTCCCAGCCTCCTCCTTCCTCCCATCCTCCCTGATACCTGGCCCCTCTCTGTCGGAGTCCTGTCAGTCCCTGCAGTGCCTCTAAAACCCTGCTCCCAGAGCCCTGATCCTCTCCCCACACTTGTCCAGTGCAAACACATACATAGATACAAAATGCACCAACCCATTGTGAGTACAAACAAACCTGAACTCGCATACATTTCAACAAACAGTGCTTGAGCACTTAGATGAACACAAGTGCTTATGTTCATGAGAAGATTTTTTTTTTTGGAAGAGAACTTGCCATTTTGGCTGCCCACATCCTTGGGCTGGCAACTGGGCTCAGTCCCTAACTACAGTAAGGGAAATTTTCTTTTAGCACCATCAACAATAAGAATAACAATCTTTATCAGTATCATCATTATCATCATTACCCACTTTAATGTTGATATAAAACACATCCCACAGATTCTTTTCCTTGTAAATTTTTGGGCCTGATCAAAAATATTTGGCAACATTGCAAAAAGGAAAAAGGAAACAAACTTTTTGTTGAACTCAAAGTAGGTTCATTGATTTGAAAAGAAATCCTTCCCACAGCATGCGCATGCATGCACACACATACACACCCCCAGAGTTTCATCCATTCCCTCCCAACGATTCAGTTGTAGCATAGTAGTAACAAGATGGTATATTCAGAATCCAGAACATGTTTATCCATGTTGCATAGGAAAATGAAGGTTATTGGAGAGGGAAAACGCTTGATGGCTGACACAAACAATTGACACATGTTCACAACATTGCTTTTAGAAGGTTTCCCTTCCTTAAAGGAACTTCCCCTAACTCCTCCTCATTGTGGATGCTTAAGGGTCTTTGTTTTAACCCAAGCCTTCCCAGGCAGAATTTTTCCTGAGGCAATACAAGCTTTGAACAGTCAAAGAATCTCAAATGACTTGCCTCAGTTATAGAACCTCTTTGTATATATATATATTTAGACACCAAGATTTCTTTTGAGTTTTCTAGATACTCGAAGAATTCTTTTGAGAACTAGTGCAAGCCCGCCCTCAACCTGTGGCTGAAAGCAGAGCTGCTCCAACCTCACAAAGTACTTTGAACTCTGCACGTGCTCAGAGGCTTTGTGTGTGCTGCTCCTGCAGTACTCACAAAGTGGTGGTACCTTCTTGCCAGAGCATTCCCCTTTCTTCCATAGTTTCCAGCAGACATTTCCCTGAATCCATTTGTCCAGACCAAATCCAGAGAAGAGGCTGCAGTTAAATAACGGAGTGCTCTTAGCAAGGTAGACCATCCCTCTCTTGTTCATTTGTTTTTTCTTTTCTTTACCCCAAAAGTTACACATTTCTTCCAATTTTTTTTTTTTTTTTGGAAAAAGTACCCAATCACCGTTTACTAAAACTCTTAAAATTCTCACTCACACCAAGCACCCCTTGAATCAAGGAATTCCTGTCAAATGCACACACTCATTCTCACATGGCACACACACAAAATCCAGAAATAATCTTTTTGCCTTCCACTCTAACTCCACTTTCCATACAGTTGCAAGTTCAACAGGAGGAGAAAAACTAGCCAATTTGGGCAAAAATATATTTATTAATGGTTAACTGCAATCTTTCTTCCCCTGATTTTACACTCTCCCTTGTTGAACTTCAGCCTGTTACTGCTCAGGCTAATTGCTAAACAGAACCATTCAAATTTCCAAGACTTTACCAGCAAATGTCCCCAAAATAGAAAAGAAAAACCCTTTCCTCTGTCTCTGGAAATCCTTGCAGGATTCCTACTGTGAGAATTTTCAACCATATATATATTTTCATATTTCATCTGCCCACCAGCATCCCTCCCTGGAATTTCAAATGCAATTATTTAATCTAACAAGAAGGAAATTTTCCTACCTAGGAGGGCTGTAAGGCAGATGGAAGAGACTGGAAAACTTGCAAGACATTAAAACAATGTTCCCAGTTTCTGACTAGGAACAGACATGAAGAAGGGGAGAGCACAAAAGTTGGCTTGAAACTTCCAGAGCACATGGAGGGGGGTAAATGGGGGATTTTTTCCCAACAAACTGTTCTGGTTACCCATTCCAGGGACAGCCTAATGGGTTTCTTGGCTCTATCCGCTTAAACCTCTCTCAGTGGGTATAGAGTCAGGGCCGGCCTCTTGCCCCCGTTCGAATGGCTGTCCCGAACCTGAACCTGATATTCCCCAGGTACAGAAAGTATTCTCGTGTTCAACGCATGCACACACCTTTCGCTCGAAACCATTCCGGCTGTTCCCCTCGGGGGGGGGGGGGGGGCGGAACCGTGTACTAAGTCCTCTGCACTCACTCGTCCGTGTGGACTTCTTGAACATACCATGAGACATGCACACAACCCTCCCCACTTTTCTTTCCCCAGAACCAGATTTCCAGAACCAGATTTCCCAGAGCCAGATATACTCACGCCGGAGTATCCAAAAGACTAAACCATAACCAGAAGTTCCTCTGAATCTCCAAAGGCGTTGGGCTCTGCCGCAGCCAGCCTGCCCGAGGCCTCCCAACCAAAGGAGTGTTGGAGCGCGCTTTGAGGCCTCGAAGGGGCGTCCGCGGTTTCCAGCCGGAGTTCGTCCGAAGGCTGAGTCCCCGAAGAGGGGCTTTTTCTCTGGTGGGGCAACACAGCCCTCGAGCCCCACGTTGGGTGCCAGAAAATGTTGATGTTCCTTCTAGCCAGGTGACTTACAGACCCACAAAACCAAGTGCCAATGAGGTTTAGTCAGGCGGAGATTCGTTCAGTTTTCTTTATTCAGCTGGGCAAAGCAACCGGGTGTCCGCTCCCTACACGCTGGCAGGAAGCAACACACACACACACATTCCTGCTTTTCCTCTCTTTTTCCACTTAATCTCGCCCCCATTGTTCCCTCACCCAATCCCCTCTCAGGGTCTGCCTGACCCTTCACCCAATCCCCTTGCGGGGTCTGCATGTCCACTGCATGCCTGTCCTCGTGCAGGTGCTTATCTACGTCCAATCCCCTCACAGGGGGAGCGTGATCACTGCGTGCCAGTCCTTGCGTGGGGGGTCTTTATCAACATTCTTTTGCCTTCCTTTTTTCCTCTCCAAAGCAAGCAGTTATACAAAAAGCAAATGGTGTTTGTTAGGCTAACCAAGCTCCTATGCAAGTGGCTGTTTACAAAAGCAAATAGCGTTAGTTAAGCTAAAAGCAAATAACATTAGTTAAGCTAATCAGGCTCCTTCAAGCTGCGGCTGAATCATAATGAAGATATACATAGCATTAAGGTAAAAAACGATACATGCAGTGCTATCTTCATTTTAGATGTCAAAAGGGTTTTGCGGCTCCCGGTGTTTTCTTTTGTGTGGGAAACGGGTCCAGATGGCTCTTTGAGTGTTAAAGGTTGCCGACCCCTGCTCTAGGATGATTGAGACAAGATCCTGTCTTTCCTCTTTATGGCAGCCTTTCCAGTACTTGTGGAGTACTATCATATCTCCCCTTTCCTTCTCAAGGCTAAACATACCCAGTTCTTTCCATCTCTCCTCACACAGCTTTGTTTCCAGTCCCCAGATCTTGTTACACTTCTCTGAACCCTTTTTATCTTGTCTGCATCTTTCTTAAATTGCTTCTTTGACTCGGAAAGGCTCTAGCCTCATGCATCACATATTAGTCTCCAACCTTTCCCCAAATGTGAATACGTGGCAGGGACTGAGTAGAAGAGGACTCGTCCAGCCCAAGGAAGGACAGAAACCTGCCTCTTTGCACATGTCTCCTTCTAGTATACTTGCGAGAAATAGTCAGAATCTGATATATGAAAAAAGCACATTGAAGGTTATAATCAGCATGTCAACTGGTAGAGAATCCTATTGCTTCATTCCTGGGGGAAGGCTAGCATTTTGCTTTTGAAGCACTAGACTCTAGTCACCTTGGTTATCATGTAGTCCACTGTTTCATTAGCAGAAACACCAAGGGACACTTGAACTAAGCTCCTTTTCTGAGGGGAATTGTTGCTGACCTGTATCCATCCAGAAGGGTAACAAACAATACACCTTTTTAGAATTAACTCAAAAATTAACTCTTAAAAAATAACTTTTGAACACCTCTTCAGATTCTTCTATTGCTCAAATCAATATTGGATTCATATAATACTTTAATGTGATATTTAAGATCAGGGTTTAGCAGATTAATTCTTTTATATTAACTACTTTAAAAAAAAACCTCACCACACTCCTCAGTTCATTCTCTCAAAAGTGTGTTGTGTTTTGTATTTGACAGATCTTGAAGTCAGCACAAGGAACAGAAGATTCTTTGGAGTATTTTCCTCACCCTTTGAGGGAACCGCTAACATCATACCATCATGCAAATTGCTGGTGCAAAGAGAACTCCTCTTGCATAAAACCATCTATTCAAAGAGCTCCCAAATACCGTGCCACTCTACACAGGACATCCCTTTCAAATTTTATCAGTGGTGCTTTGCTAGAAGCAACTACATCATTAGGAGCAAGGAATGGTGCACTAAATATATTCGGAGGATCAACTGGAAAGAACATGCTAAAAGGTAAGCATTTGACAGTATTACTTTATGGGTTCATTGGATTATATGCATTCTCCAAATCAGAACTGATAAATTAAATATTGATGAACCAATCTCTTCAAGTTATGAGAATTCAAACAAACATTGACTATTTTAAAATTCCCATTTATGCTAAAACATGTTTTTATTTACTTTCCCTTTGCCTTATGAATGGACTCGGGGTTACCTAGTATGTCTTGTATATGTATGGAAAGTGCATGAGTGAACTATTCATGTTTCTGTGTGAAGCATACCACCATATCCTTGAGTAGTTTCGGAATACATACACAGTTACACTATCCAATGCTTCTTGCTTTTAGTGGTGGTTAAACTGCTATATCATAAAAGGACTGGGTTTTCATTAGGCTTAGATTAGGTAAAACTGTGGGTATATTATTCTGTGATAAAGGAGGCCTTCATGATTTAAATAGCAGTCTAGATCTTAAATGTTTTGGATACACTCATAATACATTTCTGTCTCTGTATCAAATAACCTAGATTATTTATGCTCCTGCAAGTTAGCAGGTCTTTTGTCCAAAGATTTATAAAAACACAGATCATGCAAATACAATGGCTATTTTTAGAGCACAGATTGTTAACAGGAAACTGTGATGAATAAACTATTACATTTTACTATCTCATTTGTACGTGGTTGACTACATTAATGTGCAAATTCTGTCAATGTGATTCATTTCTTTTCTAATTATTTTTGGGGAATTAGTATCTAGATTACTAAGAATTAGCTTACACATTAAATCAGTGGTTCCCACTCTTTTCTATGCTTGAAAATGTTTGACTTACGTTTGTATCTCTAATAAAAGTAATATCACATTTGAAGATGAAGTCATATTTCTAATTTTTGAACCAGAAATTGAACCACATGCAGTACTACAGATGAACAAATAAAACAGACAAAAAAGCTTTTAACTCAGTGCATAAAATGCTAATATTAATTGAGCAATTAGGACAAATTGTTAACACTATATCGTCTTGATTGGCAAAAGAGATCCAAATGCAAACAAAATAATAATGATCATAAATAATTTTATTATTGAGATAATTTGGGGGGGAATGTTGGAATTCACCATGACAAATTTTTGCAAGATCATAAATTCTAATGAAAGTTATTATGTAGTATCTTAATTTTTTACATATTCATGATGATGATGGAGTCTGGCTGCTTAGTATTTATTAAAATATCTTTAATCTGAAAATGCAACAAAACCAAAAAACGATATAATAAAGGGGGAAGTGAAGAAAAAATTATGTACAACATAGCCATTTACAGTAAGTATTTTCCTTGACTGCCTAGTCATGCAAACTGTACAGGTAAAGAAAATAACCAATAACCAATATTGACTTGCATGAAAATTTATTGGATCAACTATGGGACTTATTATATATAGAGACCATCCTGAGACTCTTGGTAAGAATGAATGAAAATTATGAACCTACAAGATTTGATTTATATACTTACTAATTTCATGTTTTGGCAGCATCACTTATCTGGGACCCTGTAGGTGTATATGTTAGAAAAAGAGCTCAAGGAACCAAGGTTCAATTTGGATCCCTGGAAGTACTTCCTGACAATTAGGACCCCGAGGGTATGGAATGGGCTTGCAGAGGAGGTTGTTGAGGCCCCATCAGTGAGGGTGTTCAAGGATAGGCTAGACCTGCACATGGTAAGCCTGTCATGAGTGGAGCTGGCTAGAGCTGGGACTCAGACTAGATGGCCTGGGAGGCCACTTCTGACTTGCTGTGTTTCTATGTTTCCAAGTGCCCTCTTGCCAGCTATTTTTCATTTGCAAATTGCCCTTTTCTTTTTGTAATGTCAAAGTAGCAGCTGGAGTTTGGTAACAAGAATTGGCACCATAAAATGTCATTTCTGCAGTAGTTCTTTGTTTCAAAGCTTCTTTTTCCTTTCCAATTCCCTTTAGTCATTCATGTTCAGTGTTTTGCTCTTAATGAATATTACACTGTATAGACTTGGCCTTTTATTATGTCAGATGTGCAGAACATCTGATCCTCAAGGCTTTCCCTTCAGGACTGCTAGCCTCTTACCAGGCCTCTTTTCCTCTCCACAGGTCTGCTTTACTTACTGCTGTTATAATCTGCACCAGCTCTGCTCTTTGGAGGATATAGATTTGTTGTGTTGTTTAGTGAGAAAGGGGGCTTCCTTTGTCACTGCAGCATGCAAATGCAGAAATGTGGCCATGGGGGAAGAGAGCGCACTCTCCATCAGTGAGCTGTTTGCTGCCTGGTTTGTGCATGTGTACGTGCGCCTTTCTGTTGGATTATCCTGACAACACAGCAGGTTGCATGCCAGTCTTGAAGGTAGCCTCTTCAGCTTTGGGCTGTGTCCCTGCCCACTCATGGCCCTTGAACCAAAAATCATCCCCCATACAAAGAATTATAGGGAATTCTGAATGCAGAAGCCTCCAAATCCCATCAGTATTGATTTATCTGCATCTTGTCATCCAGGCATACTGACCAATTTTCTCAGGCATTTGGGAAGTTGTTCAGAGGTGTCCCACCTCTTTTCTTTCTTTGTCTGTTTTGGATGATTTGGGAACTCTCTTTTCTATTGTCCTCTTTGCTTGTAGTACCTGCATTTGACATTTCTAATGGGGGCAGGGGAGCTGCATGGCCTTGATTCTATCCCTCTCTGGTTGCCTCCTGACTTGCCAGGATGGCAGCTATTACTATTCCAAGTTGCTCCTTTTCCTTATCCTCACTTTCTCGTGCCTTCCTCTTCTCATTTCTTCCATTAAACACCCAGGTGGCAATACTCACTACCTCTAGCATGTTTTTCTCTCTGGAGTGTTTCTCCCTGGAGTGATCTTCAGTGGATACCGGGGGTGTGGATTTGGTGTAGGTCATCTCCGTAATCAAATTGCCTGCCCGTTCGTACATGCTGCTTTGTTTCTTCTTTAAGATTATCTGTTAACAGAATGATGTCTGTTTCCAGTAGCGGGACCCAGGCTTACAGCATTAAAAGACTCAGCAATTAAAATATTAATAGAAATATACAAAAGTTAAATATATATGTAAAACTACAATATTAAAATTATATCAGATGTCAACATTAAAATGGCAACAAAAGTAATACTAAGTATTAAGAGTGTTAAGTACACCAAATATCCTTTGAGAACTTAACATGTATATTTAGGGATGTCTTTCAGTTGTTGTGTTTCTTAGCATTGAGGTAAAAATACTAAGGATGTTCTTCTTCCTTTCTGGTCAGCCCTTTGCAGCAGGAAACATGATCTACTATCTAGTTTATATTTGTTTTCAAATACAGTATATTTGAATACAGTATAATTTGTAAGAATTATAGATATATGTTTTCTTTTGGTAGCTTTCATTAAGATTTAAGTATCTTAACTGCATCCTTATTACAAAGTACTGGCAGGGGTGGGAAGAGAAAGTTTTAGCCAGTCCAGTTTACAGCGAACTGTTTATTAAAATTAAATATCTTGGCATTTCAATTTCTCATTTAAATTGATACAGTGTCCATCCAGATGTGAACAAACTTATGATGTATTGCTTGTGAATCTTTGCAGCTTATCTTTTCTTTTGATCTAGGTAGTGCTTTCCTTTTTAAGCTTTCCCTTGAATAAATAATGAATTCAAAATGCATTTGGAATATTTGATAGAAGAAATGTGTGTGCTTTTATATACATGTTTCCATTTTTCAATCAAAAATCTTTCCATAAGTGTGCCATAAGCCAAACAAATACCTGTATAAAATTAACATGAGTTGTTATTTTATAAACATGAAGTGGCTTCTAATACATATTAGTCCTGCACTTTAAAAGATTCTTCCTTATTATAGTGCTTTAAGACTAGTATACTGACCACAAGATACTTTGACTGGCTACATAGTTAAATATGTGCGTAAGTCTCACTGCTTTCCATGACACATGGACACCTTTACCTTTTACTTGTGACCAGCTCTAACGTAACTGTTTTGACTGGGATTCCTTGAAAATTGGATTACTGCTGTTAGTAAAAACCTCTGTCAGAGCATAAATGTAAAATTGCACTTGTTGGAGTTCTGACGTTTCAGCTTTTATCTTCAGAGAAGTTGGTAACCTGACCTTTCAGCATGTTTTCTTTGTGGCGTATACCAAGCATGCTAGCTGTGTATTTTGACAGTTAGTAGTCAACTGAGCAGCTGTTGCCTAACAGCTAGTGTAGTATGTTTATTTCTCAGCTTTTGGAAGTATCTGCACTTCTGACATTTTAGAAGAAAACAACAGAAAAACTCTTCAATGGTAAGACTGATGCCCTGTGCCCTACATCTAATACCCGATGCCTTTTAAATCTAAAGGAAACATGCTGTTGAGACAAAAATAATGACAAGTTGCTTTTACTGTCATATACTATGACCACTATACAGATTTTCATGATTAATCATAGGAAGGTACTCCGTATGGACCTTTGCCATCATTTAGTAGACTGTAGACCTGCCACACAACATTTTCCAAATTGCATTTTCTGTTTTGGTTTGGGAAAAAATAACCTTAGATTTTTTACTTGAAATAAATATAGATTATCATTGAAATGAAGTAATAGTAATTTTCGTTCATACATGTGCCAACATACTACAGCACTATAAATAAACTACTGAATAATTATTTTCTCTGGTGATACTAGCTAACACTGAACATTTTATTTGGCAAGGTATTGTAACTGCTCATGTAATTTGCTGGTTAGATTATTTCTTAACACAAAGAGAATGTCATAAAACTTGTTATCTTTGTCTTAAGAGTAAGCAAACTAGTAAATAAGCAAACGAGAGATAATTTTCAGATGTTTCATCTTTCAGATCACAGGGGCTAATATATGTGGTTGTGGTTCTTTTGGCTTCATATTACTACATCTTACACTTGTTTGCTAGTCTGTGAGTACAGTTGTTAATATATGCTAATAATGTTAATAATAGTGAAAAGTCCTGAAATAAGGATAGGTTCCAAAATCAC